AGGAGGACGCTCACGTGGGACACGACGACCAGTGCGAGCAGTACGAACAGGCGACGCAGGACGAGACTCAGGCTCACGACGCTCTGTAAGACCTCCTGTGGGACCAGCGTAAGGGGAGGGAGCAGGGAGAGGCGAGGTAGGCGGTAACTGTGACTGCGGCTGGACAGGCAGAGGACACTCGACGGAGGGAGGAGGACTAGGAGGAGGAGCCTGACCAAGAACCTGCTGAAGGAGCGGTACGAAGTACGGTCGCGGCCGCGCAGCGTCTCCAGAAGCAGCAGGGACACCAGTGGCAGCCCCAACGCCCGAGTCCTCAGCACCAGCAGCAGCTCCAACGCCCGGGTCCTCAGCACCAGTAGGAGCTCCAACGCCCGAGTCCTCAGCACCAGCAGCAGCGCCACCGGTCGGGTCCTCAGCACCAGCAGCAGCTCCAACGCCCGGGTCCTCAGCACCAGCAGCAGGGCCACTGGTCAGGTCCTCAGCACCAGCAGCAGCGCCACCGGTCGGGTCCTCAGCACCAGCAGCAGCTCCAACGCCCGGGTCCTCAGCACCAGCAGCAGCTCCAGCCCCCGGGTCCTCAGCACCAGCAGCAGCTCCAGCGTCCGGGTCCTCAGCACCAGCAACAGCACCACCGCTCGGGTCCGCAGCACCAGGAGCACCACTACGAAGACTGCAGCGCCGCGTGTACCACTCGCGGATCACCTGAATGGGGGGGAGCTCCTGGGTAGGAGGGGAAGTACCGGGACGAGCTCCAGAAGCACCTCTCCGGAGGCGGCAGTACTCGAGGTACCTCTCCTGCAGCTGCTGGGAGGAGAGGGCTCCTCCAGGTGGAGCACGCTCAGGCTCAGCACCCCCAGACTCAGCACCCCCAGACTCAGCACCCCCAGTCTCAGCACGTCCAGACTCAGCACCCCCAGGCTCAGTACCTCCAGGCTCCGCACCTCCAGGCTCCGCACCTCCAGGCTCAGCACCCCCAGGCTCCGCACCTCCAGGCTCAGCACCCCCAGGCTCCGCACCCTCAGACGCAGCACTCCCAGGCTCAGCACCCCCAGACGCAGGACGCGAGTCAACAGCTACCTCGACAGGCTCACCCGGGTCTACCTGGGACACACCTGAGGGAGCGGCACCCTGAGGGGGGAGGGGGTCTGGTACCTCAGCACCTGGAGCGAGGAAGAGAGGCGGGGGGGGGAGCGGGGCAGTGCGGTAGGGGAAGAGGCGGTAGAAGGGGACGGACTCGTCAAAAGTGACGTCCTGAGAGGCCAGAACCCGGCGCGAGGTGACGTGGTAAAACTGCCATCCAGGCGCGTCGGGAACAAAGCCAAGAAAGACACAGGGAACAGCGCGACGCGAGAGCTTGTCCGCGGACGTGTCGCGGACAAAAGCTCGAGATCCCCAGACCCGGAAACGCGACGCATCGCCAACCTCTCCCGTCCACCGTAGAGTCGGGGAAGTCTCCGGCAAGGAGACACGGGGCCAGAGGTTGAGCTGATGCGCTGCGTACCGGACCGCAAACGGCCACAGAAAGTGGGGAGCAGCCGCATGGGTCAGGGAGGTACGAGCGACCTCCATGACCAAGCCAATGCGGCGCTCAGCGACCCCATTCTGCTGTGGAGAGGCCGGAAGCGTGAACGACTGCTCAATGCCGTGCTCAGCACAGTAGGCTGCCAAGAGGTCGGAGGCGAACTCACCACCCCTGTCAGAGTGCAAGCGCAGGACAGGAAAGTCCGAGTGAAAGCGCTTGGCTAGCTGGAGACGGGCTCGGCTGATCCAGGGGATCAAAACACCAGGGACGTCACCCTTGGCGCGCAAGGGGAAGACCGTGGTGTAGCGCGAGTAGTCGTCAACAACTATCAGGAAGTACCTCTCCTGACCCTGACCACGGACGCGGGCTGGGCCCCACACGTCCATGTGGAGCGTCTGCAAGGGAGCAGTCGTCGGGGGAAAGGAGGAGGAGTGAGGAGCGGCGCGCTGCCGCCCCTCGACACAGGGAATGCAGTCAGGAGCAGGGGAGTCGGGAAGGGGAGGGAGCACCCTGGGAAGACCAGCAACAAGGTTCCGTTTGTGCATGGCCCGAAGGCGCTGCACAGACGGGTGACCAAGGCGGTGGTGCCAGAGGACAGTCTCATGCGCCAGAGAGTGACATGAGCAGGGGGCGGACAGCTGACCTGACGCAGACGCAGACGCAGCCACCTGAGGGGACTCAGTGGTCAGTGTGTACAGGTCCGACCTCGGCTCCCGAGTGAAAGTAGCCAGGTGGCGTGCGAGCACACGTGCAATGTGTCACACGCTCGTAGGCAGGGGTGAACTGGTGAACACCCCCGTCCTGCAGAGCACAGCCCGCCACCAAGTTCGTAGAGAACGAGGGGAGGTAGAGACCTGAGAGCGTGCCGGACGGAACCGCTGGACACGGAAGTGTAGTGGAGGAGGTCGCAATGACCGGACCCCCTGAGGGGTCAGCAAGAGAGACAGCAACTGGCCGAGCGAGTGGCTCAAGGACAGTGCGGTCACGAAAGAAAGAGCGAGAAGCACCTGAGTCCAGTGTGAAGGTGTGCAGTGCTGCAGTCGACTCAGTACCAGGGGGCACAGACGCACTAGCACCTAGGGCAGCAGCCTCACCATCACCTGGGGTAGCAGACACGCGAGCACCTGGAGTGGCAGACGCACTAGCACCTAGAGCAGTAGGCTCACCAGTATCTGGAGTAGCAGACACGCGAGTACCGGGAGTGGTAGCCTCACCTGCTCCGAGGGCAACAGACGTACTGGCACCGAGAGCGGCTGCCTCACTCACAGAGCGACTACCACTACGGCCACCCCGACTGCTCAAACCGGCGTACCACTCACGAGCCTGCTGGAGCAGAAGAGGGCACGGCTGCTGCACCTGTCCACTACCGGAGCCTCCCGAACGACGGACGCCAGAGCGACTACCACTACGGCCACCCCGACTGCTCAAACCGGCGTACCACTCACGAGCCTGCTGGACCAGAAGAGGGCACGGCTGCTGCACCTGTCCACTACCTGAGCCTCCCGAACGACGGACGCCAGAGCGACTACCACTACGGCCACCCCGACTGCTCAAACCGGCGTACCACTCACGAGCCTGCTGGACCAGAAGAGGGCACGGTTGCTGCACCTGTCCACTACCAGGGGCTCCCGAACGACGCACGTCAGAGCGACTACCACGACTGCCACCCCGATAGCCCCAACTGGCGTACCACTCACGAGCCTGCTGGACCGTGAGGGACTCACGCGCACGGTCCTGTGGCTGCATCTGGCCACGTCAGGAGCAGCAGGAGTAGCGGGAGTGGGAGTAGAAACGGCAGTAGTAGCAGTAGCAGCGGTAGCAGTGCTGGCAGGGCAATGCTCACCAGTGGTCGGCGTGGCAGGCGCAGTAGGAAGCTCCGCGGCAGCTGCTGCAGAGCTAGACCAGGCTACGACGGCAGTTGCTCCAGGGGCGGCTGCTGCAGGTGCGGGCGGCTCCAGGGGCGGCTGCTGCAGTGGCGGGCGGCTCCAGTGGCTGCTGCCGCAGTGGCGGGCGGCTGCAGGGGCTACTGCTGCAGTGGCGGCGGCTCCAGGGGCTGCTACTGCAGTGGCGGCTGCTCCAGGGGCGAGAGGCGGATTAGGGTTAGGTGGCGACGGCGCGGGCAGGGCGACGCGGCGGGCAGGTGGCGACGCCGCGGGCAGGGCGACGGATTAGGGTTAGGTGGCGACGGCGCGGGCAGGTCGACGCGGCGGGCAGGTGGCGACGCCGCGGGCAGGTCGACGCGGCGAGGAGGTGGCGACGCCGCGTGCATGTGGCGCGGGCAGGCGACGACTCCACGGGCAGGTGGCGACGCCGCGACGACGCCGCGGGCAGGCGACGTCTCCGCGGGCAGGCGACGGCGCCGCGGGCAGGGATCGACGTCGCGGGCAGGCGGCTTCGACGCGGGCAGGCGACGACGCCGCGGAGAGGCGGCGACGCTGCGGGCAGAGCGACGCGGCGGCCGGCTAGGGCCTGCAGGGGCGGCGCGCGTGGCCTGACGGGTCTGCAGGGGCGGCTCTCGGGCCTGACGGGCCTGTAGCGGCGGCTCGGGGGCCTGACGGGCCTGCAGCGGCGACTCGGGTGCCTGACGTGCCTGTAGCGGCGGCTCAGGTGCCTGACAGGCCTGCAGCGACGGCTCGGTGGCCTGACGGACCTGCAGGGGCAGCTCGAGGGCGCACGAGGGCGCACGAGGGCGCACGAAGGCGCACAAGGAGAGAAAGGCGCACGAGGGCGCACGTAGGGTAGGGCGCACGAGGGCGCACGTAGGGTAGGGCGCACGAGAGCGCGTAGGCGCAAGTGGCGCACGGTAGGTAGGTAGGTAGGTAGCGGTGGGCCCTAAGAGCGGTCCTAGCGATGGACCTGCTCTGATACCATGTCAGAATAACTGAGCAGGAATGGAATGAACTAGCACAGAGTTTGGTACAAGTAGGAAACCCTAACTTTGAGTACCCCCTAAGGTGTAACCCGCTACAGCCTACATAATATAAACATGCAATGTTTGACACCAGCACCCCCAGGCTCAGCACCCCCATGCGCAGCACCCCCAGGCTCAGCACCCCCAGGCTCAGCACCCCCAGTCGCAGCACCCCCAGACCCAGCACCCCCAGGCTCAGCACCACCAGCAGCACCAGAGTCAACAGCTACCTCTACCGGCTCAACTGCATCTACCTGGGACACACCGGAGGGAGCAGGACCTTGAGGGGGGAGGGGGTCTACCGGAGGGGGACCTGGCGTAAGGAAGAGCGGCGGGGGAGGGAGGGACGCAGTGCGGTAGGGGAAGAGACGGTAGTAGGGAACCGACTCGTCAAAGGTGACGTCCTGGGACGCGAAGGCACGGCGCGAGGTGGGGTGGTAGAACTGCCAGCCGGGCGCGTCAGGGGGAAAGCCAAGGAAGACGCAGGGAACAGCGCGAGAGGACAGCTTGTCCGCAGACAAGTCGCGGACAAACGCCCTAGATCCCCAAACCCAGAAACGCGACGCATCACCAACCTTCCCCGTCCACAGCAAAGCAGGGCATGGAGACCCGGGGGTGAAGGTTGAGCTGATGCGCCGCGTACCGAACCGCAAACGGCCACAGAAAATGGGGAGCAGCCGCATGGATCATGGACGTACGAGCGACGTCCATGATCATGCCGATGCGGCGCTCAGCAATCCCATTCTGCTGCGGAGAGTCCGGAAGCGTGAAGGTCTGGCGAATGCCTCGTGCGCGACAGAAGGCCCGCAGAAGGTCAGAGGAGAACTCTCCGCCTCGGTCGGAGTGCAGACGCCGAACAGGAAATTCGGAGCCGAAACTCTCCTGGAGTTGGAGACGAGCTGCGCGGATCCAGGCGATCAACACCTCAGTGACGTCACCCTTGCTGCGCAAGGGGAAGACTGCGGTGTAACGCGAGTAGTCGTCAACCACCAGCAGGAAGTAACGCTCGTGACCCTGCCCACGGACGCAGGCTGGGCCCCACACGTCCATGTGAAGCGTCTGCAGCGGAGCCTCTGTCGGAGGAAACTCGGAGGAGTGAGGAGCAGCGCGCTGCCGCCCCTCGACGCAGGGAACGCAGATGGGGGTAGGCTCCGGAGGAAGGGGAGGGAGGGACCGGGGGAGGCCAGAAACAAGAAGACGGGAAGCCATGCCTCGAAGACGAGGCAGGGAGGGGTGACCAAGACGGTGGTGCCAGAGGAGAGTCCGGTGGGACAGGAGACGACACGAGCAGGGGGCAGACTCAGGACCAGACCTGGACGCCGCAGCAAACACCTGACCCGACGCAGCTACCTGAGCAGACTCAGTGACTGGAGGAGACTCAGTAGTCAGTGTGTACAGGCTCGACCCTGGCCGACGAGCAAACGTGGCCAAGTGTCGGCCCGTGTCCGCACAAGTGCAGTGGGTCACCCACTGACGCGCAGGGGTGAACTGGTCAACTCCTGCATCCTGGAGGTCAGCACCCGCGACCAAGTTCGTAGAGAACGAGGGGAGGTAGAGACCCGAGAGGGAGCCAGACGGGACCGCCGGACACGGTAGGACAGTGGAGTAGTGAGCAAGGACAGGACCCCCAGAGGGGTCCGCCAGGGAGACCGCAACAGGCCGACTGAGCGGTGTGAGAGTGGTGCAGTCTCGAAAGAAGGAGCGGGAAGCACCCGAGTCAAGGGTGAAGGTGTGGGTGTCCGGTGACGACGCAGTACCTGAGAGCGCAAACTCACCGGCACCTGGGCCGGCAGACGCACTGGCACCTAGAGCAGCAGCCTCACAAGTACCTAGCGCAGCAGCCTCTATGCCTGGGTCAGGCGGGAAACACCGGTAACAGTCACCCTCATCACTAATAGTCACAGCATACATGGCAGCAAGAATAGCATCAAAATCAAGATCATAGATTGCAACACCCGCCCTAGACAGCTCGCCCCAGCGAGGGATCTCAGTAGCGTCGGGGAACTGGTGGCGCCACGCGTCCGTCAGATGACCAAAGCAGCGCTGGGTGGGGTGCGCGCCCCCACACTGCTCACCCGCCCGGTCGCCGGTACGGAGAACGTAGGTACAGGGGCCAGCACCACCGCCCCGCTGACGAGCAGCGTACCACTCACGAAGCTGCTGAGGGGAAGGGGTCTCACGGGTACGCTGCTGCTGCTGCTGCTGGCGCGCACCACCACCGGAGCCACCCCTCTGCGCAGCGCCACCCCGACCAGCTCCACCGCCTCCGCCGCTACCCACTCCAGTACCGCCACCTCCGCTCCCACCGCCACCGCCGCCTCCACCTCCACCTCCAGTCCCGCCACCGACGCCCCCACCGCCGCCACCACCCCCACCGCCACCCCCACCCCCTCCACCACCTCCACCTCCGCCTCCACCGCCCCCTCCAGCTCCTCCAGCACCCTTGCCCCCCTTGCCCTTGCCAGGGCGGCGTCTCCCGCTAGGGGCAGACGCCGCAGCGACCGACTCAAGACCAACGAGGTCGACCGCAGCAGCAGAGGCAACAGAGGGCAAGAGGGGAGAGGGGGAGCACCCCTCAAAGACAGGGGCACGAGGGTCACCACGAGAGGCACCTACTGCGACTATGCTCTTCTCTGCCGCGAGAAGGCGCTCCTCGAGGAGGTCAACGGTGAGGGTGGTGGGGCAAACAGAGAGGAAGTGGTCCCTGACCGGGCGAAGGGTGTCAGGGAGCCGGGTGACTATGTAGTAGAGGGTGATGTACATGGGGGGGGGGGTTCTTGGCGCAGAACTCAGCAGGAAGCGCAGCGCGGTAGCGGGTGTCACTAGTGCGAAGGTGCGTAATGAGGTCAGCGACAGTGGGAAAAGCGGCGAGGTCAGGGAAGAGGTACGGTAGGATGAGGCGGCTAAGCGCAGCAGTGGCAGGGGAAGAGTAGCGTGCAACTACAGCGTCGTACAAGGTCTTAGCACTCTTGTACTGGCTAAAGTGCGCACGCTCAGCGGTCGGCAAGTGGCGGCGCACAGCAAGGCGGGCAGCAGCATCGCGCGTGGCCCACTGGGAGCGAACAGTGGGGTCAGCATCAGCAGCAGGGGCAGGAGAGGCACCAGAAGTGAGGTCAAAGAGGGAGAGGCCGTCTGCTCTGTCGCTCAGTAGGAAAAGCTGCAGGTCATCTACCCAGACGTCAAAGTCAATGGCCCGACCCTCAGCGTCAAAGGTGAGGACACTGGGGGAAGCCATGACAGTAGTAGACTAGCAGTGAGAGCAGCAGGCAGGGGCAGAGCAGTGGTGGAGGCGCTGCTCTTACCGGGCAGGCGAGAAGGACCGAGGTGCGTCGGCAGGAACAGGGCCGCGACAGCAGGAACGGCGGCTCGGCGGCTCAGCGGCTCGGCAGCTCAGCGGCGGCGGTGTCTCGGCGGCTCGGCAGCACGGCGGCAGTGGCGGCTCGGCAGCCTGGCAGCCCAGCGGCAACGGCGGCTCGGCTGCGGCAGCGTCTCGGCGGCTCGGCTGCTCGGCGGGGCCGCGAAGGCGTGGCGACGGGGCCGCAAAGGGCGGCGGTGGAGTCGCACGGGTGGGGCGACGGGGTCGCGGGCGGCTGCGACGACAGGGGCAGCGAGCGGCTGCGACGACGGAGCGCAGGCGGCTGCGGCGACGAGGTCGCGGGCGGCTTCGACAGCAGGGTCGCGGGCAGCAGCAACGGTAGGGTCGCGGGCGGCTGTGGCGACAGGGTCGCAGGCGGCTGCGACGCCAGGGTCATGGGCGGCCGCAGCGGTAGGGTTGCGGGCGGCGCGAAGGGCGACGGGGCCGCGACGGGCGGCGTTGGGGTCGCGGGCGGCTGTAACGACGCCGCGCAGGGCGACGCGAGGGTGGGGCCGCGGGGTCGCGAGGGTAGGGCCGCGGGGCCAGCAGAGGCGGCGCCGGGGCCTAAAGGGCGGCGCGACGGGGCCGCTAAGAGAGGCGAGGGGGGAGGGGGGGGCGCGACTCGGGCAGGGGCCGAGCGCGCTCCGGGCAGGAAAAAAAAAATGTTACGGTGGGCCCTAGGAACAGTTCCCACGAGGGAACCTGCTCTATAACATGTGAAGTTTAGAACGAGAATGGTGTGACTAACATCAATGGGAGTACAAATATGAAACCCAAGAGTTCTGTACCCCCTAAGGCTAAACCCACTGTAGCCTACAAAGCTACAACATGCATAATGTTTGACACGTGTCTCCTTGCCGGAGACCTCGCCCACACTGCGTTGGACAGGGGAGGTTGGCGATGCGTCGCGCTTCCAGGTCTGGGGCTCTCGTACCTTTGTCCGCGATACCACCGCGGAGAAGCTCTCCGCTCGCGCCATTCCCTGCGTCTTCCCTGGTTTTCCCTGGCAGTTTTACCACCCCACGTCGCGTCAGGTGTTTGCCTCTCAGGACGTCACATTTGGCGAGTCGGTTCCCTTCTACCGCCTCTTTCCCTACCGCACTGCCCCTCTCCCCCCGCCGCCCCTCTTCCTCGCTCCAGGTTCCCCTCCGGTTGACCCCCCCACCCCCCCTCAGGGTCCTGCTCCTTCATGTGTGTCTCAAGTAGACCCGCCTCCCTTGCCTGAGCCTGTCGAGGTCACTGGTGACTCAGGTGCTGCTGAGGGTGGTGCTGCTCGGGGTGCTGCGTCTGGGGGTGTTGAGCCTGCGAGTATGGAGCCTAGGGGTGCTGAGCCTACGGGTGCTACTTCTGGGGGTGCTGCGCCTGGTGGTGTTACGTCTACTGGTCCTGGAGGTTCTCCCGGGGCCTCGCCCCAGCAGTCTAGCCGGCGAGAGCCTCTCTCACCACAGCAGCTGCGCGAGTGGTACACTCAGCGCTACTGTCTTCCGCGTGGAGCTGCTGGAGCTGGAGGCCCAGGAGCTACTGGTACCGAAGGAGCTGGCACTGCTGGTCCCGGAGGTGCTCGTACTGGAGGTATTGGAGCTGTCGGAGCCGGTGGTGCTGCTGGTGCTGGAGGTGCTGGTGGTGTTGGCACTGCTCGTCCCGGGGGTGCTCGTCTTGGGTGTACTGGAGCTGCCGGAGCTGGTGGTGCTGCCGGTTCTGGGGGTGCTGCTGCTGGTGGAACTGAGGCTGGAGACCCTGGCGCTGGAGGTGCCGGTTCTAGGGGTGCTGCTGCTGGAGATACTAGGGCTGGAGAGCCTGGAGCTGGAGGTGCCGGTTCTGGGGGTGCTGCTGCTAGTCGTTCTGAGGCTGGAGACCCTGGAGCTGGAGGTGCCGGTTTTGGGGGTGCTGCTGCTGGAGAGTCTGGAGCTGGAGGTGCTGGTTTTGGGGGAGCTGCGCCTTGAGGTACTGAGGCGGGAGGCCCTGGAGCTGGAGGTTCTAGAGTTGCTGGAGGCGCTGGAGCTGGCGGTTCTGGAGCTGCTGGAGGCGCTGGAGCTGGAGGCTCTAGAGCTGCTGGAGGCGCTAACGCTACCGGTACTAGTGACACTGGACAGCCGCGGCTGTTTTTCGCTCCGCCGTCACCGTCGTCGCTGCCACCGCCTGATTCCATGCTTCGCCAGGTTCTTAGCCTCCCGTCTTCTACCGGCCTCCCGTTACAGCCAGGCTCCCCACTGCAAGCTCCTTCTCCTTACACTGAGCAGACTGACTCGCTTACAGAGCGTCGTGAGCCTGCGTCTCGTTCTGCCTCCCCTGTTTGCACAGTTCTCCGTGCTCGTCGAGTCCCGCGTCCGCGTCCTCCTCCTGTGCCTGGTACTCACACTATGGCACTTCGTCCCTCCTCTACTCCGCAGCGTGTCACCCTGCCGTCTCCTCCTGCGTCCTCTCTGCCTGACGTTCCGCACCCTGAGTCTGACCTGGTTCGTGCTGCTCACCCTACTGTCACGCGTCTGCTCGCCACTTTTGTCACTGACCCGACGTTTGAGTCTTCTGTTGCGTCTGCCCTAGTCTGTGAGCTTGTTGACTTTGCTGCTGTCCGTCGTCTTAACTACGCTGCTAGTCTTGTTGTTGAGTCTGAGTCTGTCTGTCCTCCGTCCGTCGGGGGTGAGTGTGCTCTTGGCACGGACTTCCTTGAGGACAGGCAGGAGGACTTTGAGTGTCTTGCAGCCGCTGCACCTCATCTTGTGGCCATGCTGTTTGCTCCTGAGGGAGACCCGGATGCACTGGACATCCCGACCCCGCGCTCTTACGCAGAGGCGATTGAGGGTCCCTACTCCTCTCAGTGGCAGACAGCCATGGACGCAGAGATGGCATCCTGGAAGTCCACAGGCACTTACGTCGACGAGGTTCCCCCTCCTGGGGCGAACATCGTCGATGGCATGTGGATTTCCAGGGTGAAGCGGCCGCCGGGTTCTCCGCCTATCTTCAAGGCTCGTTACGTTGCATGAGGCTTCAGTCAGCGATAGGGAGTTGACTTCTTCCAGACCTTCTCCCCTACCCCGAAGATGACCACTCTTCGGGTGCTGCTGCACGTTGCCTCTCAGGGTGACTACGAGCTTCACTCTCTTGACTTCAGCACAACGTTCTTATAGGGCAGTCTGCACGAGGAGATCTGGCTGCGCCGCCCACTTGGCTTCACTGGGTCGTTTGCTCCTGGTACCCAGTGGAGCCTCCGCCGGCCAGTCTACGGTCTCCGCCAGGCGCCTCGTGAGTGGCACGACACACAGAGGACGACACTGGCGGCTCTTGGGTTTGCTCCTTCCACTGCAGACGCGTCGCTGTTTCTTCGCACCGACGCTTCGTTGCCGCCGTTCTACATCTTCGTGTACGTCGACGACTTGGTCTTCGCCATTGCTGACACTGAGGCACTCGCCCTTGGGAAGTCGGAGCTGTAGAAGCAACACACGTGCACGGACCTAGGTGAGCTGCGCAGTTACCTTGGCTTGCAGATCACCTGGGACAGAGCACGCCGCACCATCACACTGACTCAGTCACACATGGTACAGCAGGTCCTTCAGCGCTTCGGCTTCACTTCGTCCTCGCCACAGTCCACTCCTATGGCTACGGGTCACTCGCTCTCAACTCTGCCTTCGGATGAGTCCGTAGAGGCGAGTGGCCCGTATCCAGAGCTTGTGGGCTGCCTCATGTACCTGATGACCTGCACTCGACCTGACCTTGCGTACCCTCTTAGCATCCTGGCTCGCTACGTTGCGCCCGGGAGACACCGCCGAGAGCACTGGGAGGTTGCTAAGAAGGTGTTGCGCTACTTGTGCAGTACATCGGGCATGGGGCTCGTGCTTGGAGGACGGGGTGACGTTATCCTCACTGGACACTCCGACGCTTCTTGGGTCGACGACCTGGCTACGCAGCGGTCGTCACAGGGTTACACGTTCAGCCTTGGCTGCAGCTCTACTTCTTGGCTGTCTACCCGCTCGTCTTCTGTTCTCAGCTCCAGTTGTGAGGCTGAGATCTACGCCACAGCCATGGCTACTCAGGAGTTACGCTGGCTCACCTACCTGCTGACCGACTTGGGAGAGAGGCCTCGTTCTCCTCCAGTTCTGTACGTAGACAAGAAGGCTGCTATTACCTTGTGTCAGGAGCACAGACTGGAGCACAGAACGACGCACATCGCTCTGCGTTACTTCCTTGCTCGAGAGTTGCTCGTGGTCAGCTTCGTGTTTCTTACGTGGCCACCAGGGCCAACACTGCTGATGTGTTCACCAAGGTACTTCTGCCTTGTGACCATCAGCGCTTTTGTACAGCTTTATTTCAGAATAGCTAGGCAAGAATGATTGAACTAGCAGAAGTTTGGGTACAAATATGAAACCCTAGTTTGGGTTGTACCCCATATTGGCTACCCCACTACAGCCTA